GCTCCTAGCCATATCAGCAAGTGTATTTAGCCAAACATGTTCATCGTCTTTCGGACCCCAACCAGGGAGCCGAGACGCTCCAACCGAGGCCAGCTTCGAAGTGAGGGCCTTCATTCCTCTTGACCAAGTCATCGCTTGGCCACCCCTCCTCTTCTTCCATCCACACCCCGGCGCGCAAACAACGCACGTCCCGGGAGTCGGTGGGCTGGCATGCGTAACACGTGGCCGAGCCATCGGAGCCTGGTGCGTGAAATGACGGTGCTGAGCGGTTCAGTTCCTTTTCCTGTGCCGTAAACAAGGCGTCGAACATGCTCGTTGCTTACGCGGTGTTCCCACCAGATGTGAGCTAAATTACGAAGGCACCGGTGGTCGAACGTAATTAGCCTCTTCAGGTCCGCTGCTTTAAGCGGCCAGGTTTCACAACCGTACAGTAGAGTCGAACGTACCGTTGCATTGTACACTCTACCCTTCAGGGTGAGAGTGATGTCGCGCTGGCGCCATAAGTGGCAAAGGTTAGCAAAAGCGCCCCGAGCTTTTGCTATACGGTTCGTGATCTCATCCTCAATCCCACAGGCGCTGATACAACTTCCCAGGTAGATGAAGTTTTTGACCTACTTCTAGCTGATCCCCACCAAGGGTCAGCGTAGGAGGCGGTCCAGACCAATCTTGGAGGAACGCTTTGCACTTCGAGGGTGCGAAGCAAAGCCCGAAGTGATGGACAGCCAGTGCTAATCTGTCCAGTGCCGCTTGGCACGTTTGTGAGCTGTCACAGATTAGGGCAATGTCGTCAGCATACTCCAAGTCAAGAAGTCGTTCTCCTGGGAGCAGATCCACACCCTCTAAGTCGTGTCCTGTGAACGCGATTTCCATGACTTCGTCAACAGCGAAGTTGAAGAGGAAAGGTGACAGCGGGCATCCTTGTCTCACGCCGCTGGAGATATTAAAGGGTGACGACAACTTGCCGTAAGCCCTCACTCTGCCCGAGCTACGCGCATATAATGCTCGGATAATATTCACATATTTCTCAGGTACACCAAAGTCCCAAAGTGCATGTCTATCCACCGAATCGAATGCACCTTTGATATCGATGTTATAATCTTCTCACTAGACGCAACTCCAAAAATAACAATTTACTGCTCCGCAAAACTTCTAGCCCAACCGAAGGAAAAAAGCAGAACGCCAATGACCCTGACAAATAACGTATTAATCGCAGCCAACGAACACTGTACAACGACTGAGGACCCTGGCTGTATTTATAGGTCTCTGCTGACCTTCGACTTCTAGAATTGGAAGGTCAGCTGCCAAGGTTAGTGGTTCCCCATATCTTTTCCCGAGAGGTCAGGTGGATTTTGATCACGTGTAGAAGAAGAACATTCAGGAACGTTCGAAATCGATGCGATAATCGTTAATAATCGATTAATCGCTAAAATAGGGAATTTCCAAGGCAATTCTTACTTTCTCCCGGACACCTCCCCTCCTGAGATGTGTTCCGAGGTGTAAGAGGAAAGCCTGGGATCAACTTGCAGTCTTCGGGACGGTGTTCTCTGCCTGTCGGTCCACCTCCTTGGCAGAAGCGCCCGAGAGCCTTGTTCCGATGTTCTTGTTCTGGATTCGTTGCTCGACCTTGGGCAGTCGTCCACTGTTACTTTCGGCAGGTTGAAAGTTTCCACCAGTAAATCGAACGGGAGATCAGTAGGCCTTTCTTGTTCTGGCTGACACAATGTAGGCCGTAACTGGTTTGCGTGCCGTGGCCAGACTTGTGCGCCCACCTTCACGTCATACATGACGTTTCCGCGCTTGCTTATGACCGTCGCTGGCGTCCACTTCGCATGGCCATCCCGGTAGTCACGTACTAGCACCTTCTGTCCAAGCGTGAATGATCGCTTCTTTGCTCCATGCCGCCGGTTAAACTCCTGTTCCATTCTGCGGTTTCTTTCACCAACAGCAGACTCCGAGCCCGGTCGGATGGCGTCGAAAGGCATGCGGAGCTTCCGGTTCATCATAACCTGTGCTGGAGAGACTCCGTCTGGTGCTTGTGGATTCGGTGTTGATCGGTAGAGGAAAAGGAACCGGTCAACCACCTCCTCTATACGTCCCTCCCCTTTTGATTTTTGGAGGGCTCGCTTGAATGTGTCGACAAATCTTTCTGCCTGGCCATTCGACTGTGGATGAAACGGCGGCGAGCGAACGTGCTGGACGGCGCATTGCTTGCAAAACTCCTTAAACGCTGCTGAAGTAAACTGTGAGCCATTGTCAGTGACCATTGTTTCAGGACAGCCGAATCTGCTAAAGACTTGGCGCAGTTTCGATATGGTGGCATTGGTGGTGGTGTTATCCATGAGAAATACTTCTGGCCACTTGCTGTATGAGTCGACTATAATGAGGAAACTTCTCCCGTTGATCGGCCCTGCAAAGTCGACATGAATGCGGCACCACGGCTTAGTAGCTATTGGCCATGAACAGAGTTCTGCTTTCGGTGGCGCTTTCAAGACATCGGCACACTTTTGGCAGCGTCTGGCTATTTCTTCCAACTGTTTGTCCATTAAGGGCCAGTATACATAACTGCGGGCAAGCGCCTTCATCCGGTTGATTCCAGGATGCCCGGCGTGGAACTGTCGAATAAGGCGCTCCTGAAGTGTCTTGGGGATGACCACTCTTTCCGAAAATAGTATGCAATCGTTTACAATAGAGAGTGAGTGTCTCCTCTGAAAATACTGTTGCAACTTGGCGGATGGACAGGAACGTGGCCAACTTGTTTTGTGAAACTGCGTAACCTTCTTGAATATTGGGTCCCGAAGTGTTTCGGTTCGCACAGCTTCTGCGGTAACTGGTAGACAGTGTAGTGCATCAGTTACCAGAAAGTTGACGTCTGGTTCAATCTCCACCGAGGCAATGATTGTGTCTTCATGTTCTTGCTGACGGGTATCAATTAGGCGTGAGAGTGCATCTGCTTGGCCAATGGAAACTGTTGACTGATATTGGATCTCGAAATCATACCCCATTAAGGTAAGAGCCCAACGTTGTAGCCTGTTGGCTGTGTAGGCCGGGATGCCCTTTTTCGAACCAAAGATAGCGAGCAAGGGTTTGTGATCTGTCAGAAGCTTGAAGCGGCGGCCGTATAGCATTTTGTGGAATTTCTTAACCGCGTACACTATGGCCAATGCTTCTTTCTCAATCTGACTGTAGTTCTTCTCGGCCTTGGTAAGGGTTCTGGCGGCATGGGCGATTGCTTTTTGAGATCCATCGGTGTACGTGTGCGCAATTACTGCACCAATCCCATGGCTTGATGCATCTGTGGTTAGGACGATCTCTTTGGAGGGATCGAAATGGGTCAAAAGCAAGTTTGAAGACAACAGTGACTTGACGCGTTCGAAGGCATTCTGACATTCTGCTGTCCAGTTCCAAGGTTGTCCTTTGGATAGGAGCTTGTTTAACGGGGCACGCAAGCGGTGCATCTCAGGTAAAAATGCGCTGTAGTGGCTGATGAGCCCACAAAAGGAACGCAGAGACTGTAGATCTGTGGGTGGAGGCGATACTCGTTAATAATCGATTAATCGCTAAAATAGGGAATTTCCAAGGCAATTCTTACTTTCTCCCGGACAATCGAGGAACACGACGATGGTGGGCCGCCAATATATGTGAAGGTCCTCCAACAACTGACGCAAGGTGAAGATGTGGTCAATGCAGCCACGACCTCGAAGTGTCGTCGTGTTTACAGTGCCACTTTCGAGTGGCGTCGCTATATGGCAGCGAGCCATGGCAAGTTCGCGGGTTTGAATCCGCGTAGGGGTGGGCGTCCTAGTGGTATAATCAGCCCGTGTGGGACTGGTGGTGGTCGCATGACAGCGAAGCGCCGTTACGGCGTACAGGTGACACGTTATCTGCTTTGGATAATAGATGCTTAAAGAGGATTGCACGTTTGTAGCGGCGACATCTTATCTGCAACTGTGAAGTAAGACGTTGTTTCTTAGGGGATAGAAATATTGTCCTTAACGGCTGATTTTCCTGAGCCAGCTAAGATGGCTCGGTCACGTTCCGCGTATGTCAGCTGAGTGTTTACCCCAGCACGCCTTGTTCACTCGTCGAGGACTAGGCGGAAAGAGACCATGCGGTTATCCGTCCACCTAGCGGCAGCATGTTAAATCGTTAACTTCACCTCCTGCTTCCGTTGGATCCACACACCCGCCTGGTTGGGGACCAAAGGATGATGAGTGCTGATGGCTTGAAATAATTAGGGCTATGGCGCGCAAAGAAAACCAGTGAATGCTCTGTGTATATACATGTTTAACTAGAGTTGCTTAATGCCTAACAACTGGAAAAGACACAAATAACGAAATGGGGTATTCAATGTAACAAGGTATGTTTCGCTTTTCGTGCGGCACAATAGTCGAATTGTGCCGCTCACCTTCAGCTAATGTGCCATGAGGATGATAATAATGCGGCGATTCTACCTGCCACCCGTTTATTTTAATGGTTTTGATTGGATTTATATCCAACCATTAGATTATAACAATAGATATGTACCTCATAAAGAAAGAATACAATGGCAGGCTAATCGCCTTTGACGCATGATGGGAAGTTATTTCAGCCCACTGCTTGGTCTCGGGCCTGAATGATCACCTCCAAAACTAAAAGTAATTTGCCAGCTGTACGGCACTTCGCTACCGCCAGACCAACCGAATTCTCAATCTTTTGTTGGGTGAAAACTACCAGCTTCAAAACTACGCATTAATGCAGCGGATTCGGGGTTACTAGATCGTTGTAGATGCCTCAAACTGGCTCAACTGCGTAGCTATGCAGGCGATACTGTTAGTTGCACGGCAAAAAAGTCAATCCACTGTATTAGACGTAGGTGAGGATGTAACATGAGCGAACGAGCAAATACGTCAATCTGAAGCGCGTTTGGTGTAGTCGCCTATTAGACTTCATGATCAAATCAGTGATTGGATGTTTGAAGTGACGCGAAAAGCTAGTTTGCAACACAATTTAGCTCAACTTACTCTGGAAAGGGAGATGGGAGTGTATCGCAAGGTAATATCGTAGACGATCCCCAGTAAGCCCATGGTGGAAAGGGCGCATGCTAATTCTTCGTCACTTGAATACTGGATCAGATCACCGTGGCAGTCGACAATGCGAATACAGATGACTTCGTCAGAGAGACAAGCCCCACGGGCTCCTCCAGCTGGTCCAACAATTCCCGGAGTGGTAGAGGTTACGGCTCCGACAACGGTGCCCCACACAGATGTAGTCTCAACGCTTTGAGCAACCTCGATACAATGGCTGACTTGAAACTGCACTAGCTCGTTAATACTGACGCATGCAAGAACTCTGAGCCCCTTGGTTTCCTCGTCTTCTCCTTTCCGCTTAATATTAACGAACTCAAGGCGAGGGCTATCCGCCAAAGCCGTGCAATCAATCAGCACTGTAGATGCAGTCCCGTAAATGGCGCTATCTCCACCAGTTCTATGGCCGCAACCACGCACAGTCAGCTTCATGGTCCTGGCAGCTCTGACGACTCGTGCAATCTCAGAGTATGACTGGGGTTGTACGAGTAACATGCGAACAATTTCCCCTGGCTGGGCCTCCAAATGAAAAGCGTGAACTTCAACGACAGGCAACAATCCTATCCTCTTTTGTAGTTCGAATCCCAGTTTGATAACCAAATTGGGGTCGGTTAGTAGCGTAGGGTCCATCTGGTTTTGGTTGGTATCAAGAGAAGGGTGGGAGACTGATTTATGTGCTTGAATAAAACTTCGTTAAGAACAAATAAGCAGACTAAATCCAAGATTAGAATCCATAGACAGCTCCCGGGGTGACGCAAGCCTACCACTGAGTTGCAGATTAAGCGTCATCATCTGACAGCTTGGCTATTTTCAAAGTAAGAAAAATCAATGACCTACTCAGGTCAGCTGATGGTATCAGGTGGGTTGCTTCACTTATATTGTAACTGTGCCTTAACAATGGCTCACAGATTATTCTTTGTTTGCATTGAGATAACTTAGAACAGTCAGAAAATGTAGTCCAAGACAGTTAATGGTGTACTGCCGATACAATGCCAAGGCTTAAGATGTCGCGGATGACGGTAAGTGAGAATTTTCAAAAGAAAAGGAAGAACAACTACAGACCGAAAACAACCGAAAACCATGAAGGTACCGAGTAAAACTTCGTCTGTCTGAATTGATCACAAATGGTTTGAGGGAACTTGGTTATCCCGGAATAACGGATGTGGCTTGATTCGGTTTTGTCTTCTAAATGTGCGTATGGTTCAGGTGGGTTATATGATGTGGTGTAAAGCCACCAACATAGTGTCAAAATGATCTTTGTACACAGCAAATGTAGGGGATAATATAACGGGTTCTGGGAGTGAATTCTACATGTGGCAAACACGTAGCGAGAAGAAATTCCTTCTACGATCCAGCCGGCTGCATTGTTCTGCCAGTTTGAGACGATAGCATCTCAGTCTGTTGTTACTGCTAAGTATAAGTAGTTGATAGGTCAGGTAATTAGGGTTGCTTAAAATTTAGCAAACGCTGATAAGATCACCACGCAAACCCTAATAGGGTTCAGTGAAATCTCCCCAAATACTGAGGCGCTGTTTGCAAAGCAAGTGAACCGAAGTTGGAGGACGGCCAAGACGGTAGCATATCGCTATATTCATTGTTGCCATATTTGAACAGTATTTACCGTACGGGCGTATGTCTGCAGAAAGCAATTGGAGTTAATGGGAAGTGTAGTTGTTACCGAGGATGCATCAAACGATTCAGTGGCCGCTACCGAAGGCTGCGCGGCTATCTCACATTAGTCTACCAAATATTGAGTGACCCTAATCACGTATGCCGTCACTTGCTAAGACTCCGCCATAACACCAATCTCAGAGGTGAGCCTATAAAATTGTGTGTACATTCTAGCGTATAAGAATGTCGGCGGAATTATTCTCTTCGGGTTTGCCAAACCTGAAGCTCTCTCTCTCTCTCTCTCTCTCAAAGTTCGTTGTTTCCTCCCCACCTTGGATATTTTCGGAAAAATTATTGGATTTTGCTCTTGGTCACCATCACTTCGTTGCCTAGACTGTACTACTTTGGAATATAGTAATTGTCCCTTCAAATCATATAAACATGAGGAGGCGGTACAGAAATGAGTATTCTCGTTTTTACCTTCTTCACGGAATACATCAACTGTAACTGTCCCTATATTGCCTAGTTCACATTCAATTCCCAGTTACACTATTATTATTCAGCAGCGTATCTGCTAAATAAACGCTCAAACAGATAAAACATATGTTTTGCTAACTACAGTTTTTCATACCGTCTTTTCCCCTCATAAATTATAAGAGTTCAAGAAGGAACAACATTTTTACGGGATTACCTGAATTCAGATTATTTCGTGTCTGCTCATTCAGTTGCTTACAGACAAATCGTGGAAAGAGTAAAGGAATGCAATTGAAAAAGGGGGTCAATAAGAAAAGCAATAAAACACTGAGAAAATCAAAGCCATCGCCTACGTCTTACCACGGCAAGGCAAGACCGGCCACAGGGTCGACCTGTTGCAAATGTTAGATTTCATTCGTCGGACGACAGAGGCTTCAGCGAAACGAAGCAAGCTCGCGTTGTTTTGTCTGCTGAGAACCTTGAATGCGTCACGTGGGTTTTCTCACAAAGTACAATCGAGCATATGCTGAGCGATTGAGCTGGCAGGAAGTTTAGGGTCACTATTTGCCAGGTTCCGTGGAACATGTTCCATGATCCCAGTTGATAACCTCCTTTCGGTTCGGCCAATGTACATGCTGCCGCAAGTACAGGTGAATTGGTAAACACATGAGGCGGTAACCTGATAATGAGGCCTATCCAAGTTGGATTCATGGAATAGCTTCTTGGTTTGATGCAACAACATGCGCTCAGCTGCGTAGTAACACCTTTTTATGGCTTGGCGTAATCGGTAGCACAATCTTCTGTCGTTCTGTTCCCCTTGGTATGGTAGCGTCATGAAAACGTTTTTCTTTGGGACATCCATTCGTTTTTCTTTCTTAGCAACCTCGTTCCCATACCTGGCAATAAGTTGGTTCGGATAGCCGTTATTGCGTATAGCAAACTCGATGTATCGTAACAGCATCGATTGATTGTAGTTTAACCCCCCCCCCCATCCTGCGGGACTTGGCAAGTAACTGCTTTTTACCCGGCATAAATCATTGTTCATTGTCCATAGGATAGTGACGAGATACCTCAGCTTACTTCGATGGTTCGCGAGTGTTGAGCAGTTCAAGATAGCTCGTAGTAGATTTGGCCAGCTAGCGCCTACGAATGTATCATGTAGACAGTTGTGTTTTGTTTTTTAACCCTTCACATCGTGGTGTAATAGCCTGAAGAGGAGCCAGTGAAAGCGAGCTCATTCGCTACATTTTACTTTTGATGTCTCCCATGGAAATATTTTTTCAAAGGAAAAAGTCGCTATCTCTCCTTCAACACTGTATCAGAGGGGACCGAGCGATTGACTCGCATATTTTGTGAATACGAATATTGTGTAGCATATAGAACGAAATTCTTATCCATGGATGTTCACGGGCCGCTGAGGACTTATCAGAGCAAGTAGTGCTGCTAAAACTGTTTAGGGTCGGGTCACCAAGTCTCAAGCTGTCGAAGCAGTAAGGGATTCAGCGTGTTCATATGCAATGGGCGACATCATTTATTGATACCTCGTGACAGAGCCCTTGTTACTTCCCAGAATGAATCGAATAGCCATTTCCATTCCTCGCAGGGTCTCTCTGGACACAGTATATGTGCTTTTGGATGGCACAGTGCGGTCAATCAAAACGTATGCTGTGCTGAATATCCGTTCCGATGTGACCCTAGTACAAGAGGGCATTTTACAGGCGGTAGGAGTAAAGGCTAGCCCTACGTCCTTGACGATGCAGAATGTAAGTGGCCTTACTTCCTTGGAAGCGGGTCTAACCAATTTCCGCTTATCGGCATTGAGTGGCGCACAATCCGTCATCAAGGAAAGCGTCTACTGCTTGAAGCAGTAATGGTAGGCTGGTGCGTCACTGGCCACACTTATGTGGTATCTAGTACGACAACCTAGCGGATATCACAATCCGAATATAATAGAATGGGACGTACCAGAAGCACATCGGTAAATTGAATGAGATACTTGTGGTCAGAAGCAAGCGTTTGTTGCTAAAACGCTACTAGGATGGGTGTTGTTGGGGCCTGTGAGAATGAGCGGTCAGCGCTGCGCTTCGGTGCATTGTGTGCAAAAGCACGAGCTTTCGTTTGAAGCCCAACTTAAACCGCTGTACGAGGATGGGTTTAAGATTTTCGGTTCGAGAAACCGCTCCATTTCCACGGAGGATAGGACATCAACATTATCATCAGCATATACGCTAGCTAGAGGGGAGAAACACTTCAGCTACTGTGCCGCAATAAATAAAAAAGAAAATAAATGCAACTGTTGCATGCCAGCTGAACTATCAACAACAGATGGGCATCGTTCCGGAAAGCTACTTGCGAGCTACTAGGCAAGAAAATTTTTCGTGTAAAATTATAAATTGCTACGAACTAAAATCGTGGTTGGAGGGTAAAGCTAAAATGGACGAGGAGGGACAAAAATCTCACAGCAGAAACGCCCCTGAGGTCGGCTCCTAGCCATGTCAGCAAGTGTATCTAGCCAAACATGTTCATCGCCTTTCGGACCGCAAACAGGGAGCTGTGACGCTCCAACTAAGGCCAGCTCCAAAGTGAGGACCCTCATTCCTCTCGACCAAGTCATCGCTTGGCCACCCCTCCTCTTCTTCCATCCACACTCCCGTCGCGCAAACAACGCACGTCGCGGGAATCGGTGGGCTGGCATGCGTAACACGTGGTCGAGCCATCGGAGCCTGATGCGTGAAATGACGGTGCTGAGCGGTTCAGTTACTTTTCCTGTGCCGTAAACAAGGCGTCGAACATGCTCGTTACTTACGCGGTGTTCCAACCAGATGTAAGTAAAACTGCAAAGACACCAATGGTCGAACGTAACTAGCCTCTTTATGTCTGCTGATCTAAGGGGCAAGGTTTCGCAACCGTAAGTAGGGTCGAACGTACCGTTGCATTGTACACTCTACCCTTCAGGGTGAGAGTGATGTCGCACCGCCGTCATATGTGGCGAAGACTAACAGAAGCGCCTCAAGCTTTTACTTTACGGTTCGTGATCTCATCTTCAATCCCACGGGCGCTGATACAACCTCCAAGTTAGTAGAATTTTTGAACGACTTCTAGCTGATCCCCACCAAGGGTCAGTGCAGGAGGCGATCCCTGCCAAACTTGGAGAAAAGCTTTGCACTTCGATGGTACAAAGTAAAGCCCGAAGCCGCTGACAGCCAGTGTTAATCTGTCTACTGCCTTTTGGAACATTTGTGGGCTGTCACAGATTAGGGCAATGTCGTATGCATAATCGAAGTCAAGAATTCGTTCTTCTGGGAGTAGCTCCACACCTTCGAAGTCGTGTGCTGCAAGTGCAATCTCCATGACTTCGTCAATAGCGAAAGAAGAAAGGTGACGGCGGGCATCCTTGTCTCACACTGGAGATACTTAAGGGCGGCGACAGCTAAACGTAAGCCCTCACTCTGCCGGTGCTACGCTGGTAAAGCGCTGGCATAACCTTTACATACATCTCAGACACTTTTTCCTGAGTAGACAGTCTCAAAGAGTACATCGATCAACCGAATGGAAGGTACCTTTTATGTCGAAAAACACGACTACAGTGGGCCGCCAATATGTGTGACGGTGCTCCAACAATTGATGCAAAGTGAAGAGGTGGTCGATGCAGCCACTACCCCAACGAAACCCGGCTTGCTCCTCATGAATCTGGATATCACGAGCGCTAGTCAGTCTGTGAAAGATA